AAGATAATGCTAAGTAAAGTGAGCTAATCCAAAAAAAACAAATGCCAAATGTTTTCTCTGATATAAGGAGGCTGATTCATAGTGGGGTAGGGAGAGGGAGCGTGGGAGGAATAGACAAATTCTAGATAGGACAGAGGGGTGGGAGAGGAAGGGAGGTGGCATGGGGTTAGAAATGATGGTGAAATGTGATGGACATCATACCCAAAGTACATGCAAGAAGACACAAATTGGTGTAAATATACTTTGTATACAGAGAGATGAAAAATTTGTGCTCTATATGTGTAATATGAATTGTAATGCATTCCACTGTCATATATAAATAAAAAATTAATTAAAAAAAGAAATGTAATCTAGTGCTACCTAGGTTTTGGGATTATTTTTATGTATCTATCTATCTATCTATCTATCTATCTATCTATCTATCTATTTATTTAGAATCAAGGATTGAGACCGGGTGCTTATCCCCTGAGCCACATCCCCAGCCATTTTTATGTTTTATTTTGAAACAGTTTAACTAAATTGCTGAGGCTGGCTTTGAACTTGGGATTCTCAAGCCTCCTGAGCCACTGGGATTCCAGTGCCACCATGCTCAGCTTGGGAAATAATTTTAAAGGGATGAACAAACCACTTTCCTCTCAAAAGGCATCATGCTAGATTCCCTGTATCTATCTCCACCTCAGTCCTCTTACACTTTAACTGGCCACCACTTTATTTACATTTTGTTTAATCCTGCTTTACCCAACAGTGTACAGCTCACCTATGCTGTCTATCCCCCACAGATGGCTTATGAACTGCCTTTGTTATTCTATGGACAAGTCTTCTCAATTTAGACTTAAGAATTACTGCTTCAGAAGTTCTTAGTATTTAGAGTACTCAAGGTTTTATCATCTGCTAAATTTCACACTAGCCTTAAGAGCAAAGTGTTATTTCTATACTAAAAAGTTAAAAAAGAATCCTTTTATTTTTTTAAAAAGAGTTCTTTTTATTTTTACCTATATTCATCTAACAAGTAATTTCCTTCCTTAACTTTGCTGATACTTCCTCTTAATCAGTGGTTTTCAAACTGGTGGTCATGATGCATTAAAAGGTTGTAAACTGATTTAGAGGTTTACAAACAGCATTTTTTTTTTTTTTTTAAGAAACAATGGAATAGAAAAGTACAAGAATGCCTCACACGTGGTGGAAAGTGCTTTTGTTTGAGTTACGTATGTAGGTGTGTACAGGATACTATGCCTCCATCACTACTGACTGCTGGGAGCTATGGTCAAAAAAATCTCTAGAGCTACAACTCTAACTCCCCTGTGTCACAGGAGGACAGAAAGTTCAATCCAGGCTCAGACTGCAACATTCATGGCTCATAATGTTTCCTAAGTCTTAAAGGAAGCATAGTTTGAGGGCAAAGGGGATTTGATTTTGGCAGGCCGCAAAACTGGAGTTCAAAAAGGACAGGAGGGCAGACTGTGGGAATGACTCGACAATGACACAAGACGCTCGGTGAGCGAATCTGAGCTCACCAGAAGACTCAAAAAACTTCTGAGCTACTGTCCATGGTGAAGTTATATGTTAAGGTCAAATGCTGTGAGAAAAAGTTGACAAGTCTGACAATTATTTCAAAGTTAGTACTTAAGGATAGGCAAGAAACTAAACAAAAGGAAGTGGCCTAGTTTTACACAGTTACCAATATCAGCAATGCAAGGATTAATTTAAGCATGTTGTATAAAGTACTCTGGTTTATAATGGGGAAAAATAAATAGTCAATGATTTCATAATAAATGACTTTGGCTGATGTAAAAAACATTTTTTTTTTAAATGGGCATGGTTCCAAAATCTTGAGTGGGGCCAGCTCATACCACAGCTGCTGCTGCCAGACACAGTGCATCCCCTAGTTATTCCACATCACCAGAACTTATTTTTAAATTTCAAAGGATTTTAAGGTTACTGTTAACCATTAAAGTACTAGCATGTGGTTATAATTCAGCCAATGGAACTGCAGTCTATGATGAAAACCAGTTGCCATAACAGTGTTCCCATAGTGACTCCCTGGGGACCAGTGTTGGCTCTGGCTCACTGGACAGCTGGAAACTCTTATATCAATATGCTGTGAGAAAGTGTTTTTCGGCTCAAGACTCCCAATATGATACCATACCAGAAATTTCTATGGGATAAAGTTATGCTTTCTGGACTTCATGGGAGTATACTGGGGCAGGGAGGAAGCACAATCCATTAAGTTGTGCTCCTGGAGATATTCAGACAAAAGAAACTTAAACTCAACTCCTTCATTCAAACAGTCCCACTTAGCACTACTACTCTTCTGTGGTAAAGAGCACTAATGGGAACACTGTGTGGCCGGAAAAGAGCCAGTGACATGAATCGCCAAATTCAACCCTACCAAAGACCCTGAAACACTTTTTTAAAATCTTTTCCAAGCAGTTTCCTTTGTCTCCAACAACAACAAAAAAGACAGTTGCATTTCTAAGTTACTCATTGAGATCAAACCCCAGAGTGCTTCAGGTACTGGAGTACATCAGGAAATCAACCGAAGGATGAGCTTAACACCAGAGTCATACAGCTATCGATCTTATTTCCCAGTCCTCCAGGTTCTCCCTGAGCATTCAGGGCCCACAACAAAAAGTTCTGTTATTAGTGACAACTGCTTGCTTCACTCAGGTCTCTCAGGGCCTTTCCTTCCTTCCTACAAGATCCAGACTATCCTGTGTCTCTCCCTCTGTGTCAATTCTTTGGCCTGTTTTACTTTCCTAATTTCCCCCCAAGACTGAAATTATATCTATGAATTCCAGATTTCTGAAGTCTCTCTGTTCCAGTGCTGAAAAATACTGTTGTCTTCAGTGACAGTGACACTCCTAAGGAAACTCAATACAGATGGTCCCTGACTTATAATGGTTTGACTTAACAGTTTTTCAATTTTACCAGTTGTAAAAACAATAAGCATTCAGTAGAAACCATAATTTGAATCTGAATTTGGATCTTTTTCCAGGCCAACCATTTGCAGTAGGATCTTCTTTCTTGTTGCTGGGCAGTGACAGCACCCTGAAATGTCTTCCACCATATTCAAAATGGTTAAGTCACAACCTGTAGAATGTTACCTTTTTTTCCCAAACTGAAAAAGGAAAACAACATGAAATTAACTGACTACCAAGCTATTGCCTAACTGTGAATGAAGAAAAAATAATTTAAGCAGTATTCATTCAACAATATTTTTAAGTAAGTCCTTATTCAACAAGACCACATGTTGAAACCTTCTCATAGAAGTCTGTTTCTCACTTATGCTATTAAGTTCCCATAAGATCTATCTAATTTAATCATAAGAAAAGGCTTCCAAAGGTAAGGGGCGGGGGCCGGTGGTGAACAGCCCTGACTCAGGACAGCAGACTTAACCACCACCAGGCAACTAACCAGCAGAAACAATCCTGTCTAGGCACAGCCATGGACCACAATGGGCCAAAAACAACTTTCAATCTTTCTCAAGAGCGGGCCAGAATAAGTGATATGAATCTAACATCAACCCAGTGGCCTCTAGAATTCATCCTCTGATTTTAAATTCAGAACTGGCTGAAAATCAGTCATGGAGCCCAGACACAGGAAAAAACTTAATGGCTCCATTATTACTGCTGCTATTGTTAACACTGACATTATTACTATGACATGAGTACACAGAGCCCCTAACCACACAGTTTGTGAAGGTACTCAAGCTGCCCTCTAATAACAACATAATAATAATAACAATAATAATGACACAACAGCTAATATTTACTGAGCTCTTATCCATTTGCCAGGCAGTATTCTAAGCATTTTATTTTGCTTTAACACAATAATAATGAAAATGAATTATGTACTATTATTACCATCACTGTAAGCTAAGGAAGCTGAGGCTTAGCAAGATTAAGTCACTTAACCAAAGTCATACTATTAGTAGGCAGAGCTGAGATTCTGGGAAGCTCTGACTTTGGGGACTCCCATTCTTACATTATCCAGTATCCATTTCACCCGTTATGTAACGTTCTATTTACTCACATTATTTCATTAACTTGGTACTCTAAACTCTAAAGCAGATGATCAGTTGCAATGATGAAAGTATAATACTGTGCAAGACCCAGAACAAGTCCTCACTTTGTAGAAGACCAAAGCTAAGGCAGTGAGTTCAGTTCTGGCACCTTCTTCCTGTTTGGCTGGGCACAGCTGGGAACACAGTCCAACTCTTGGCTGGCTTCGCTATCTGTTTCCCCTCACCCTGAACCTTGGCTCATGGGCAATGCCTTCTTAGAACTTAGGTCAGTAAGATCTATTACCAATGTTTTTTTAACTCATACTTCCTATTAATTCTAGCTGCACTGAGAAATGACAAAAGTGCACTCCTTAGAAAATAAAAGCAAGCTTTGAAACACAAGAAAAATAAACTTTAGTTAACAGAACATTTACATTCACATTCTATTGCAAGATGACAAAAGTTCAGAAACCTTTAACAGTTCATTGAATGGTCTAATATTTTTAATGAAATATATAAAATATTTTCTGTGACATACATAAAAGATAATGTGCAAATTATCATATTATACAGAAAGTTAAGTCCATCCTCAATTCTTTTTTTTAAATTATCTAACTACAATTTTCAGGTCTAGTGGGAAAAGGTAGTTTTTAAACCCCTTATGTCACTGCTGCCTATGCATTTAAATGATGGGGAAAACTTTATAGAATTCAATTTTTCAACTTTTTTTGGGGGGAGGGGGTGGTGCTGGTAATTTAACCCAGCAGCACTTAAATACAGAGCCACATCCCCAGCCCTTTTTATTTTTTATTTTGAGACAGGGTCTCACTAAGTTGCTTAGGGCCTCCCTAAGTTGCTGAGGCTACCTTTGAACTTGCAATCCTCCTGCCTCAGCCTCCCACAGCAGTGGGATTACTGGAGTGCACCACCATGCCCAGCTAATTTTTCACCTTTTAAAAATAAAAACAAGACAGAAAAATCAGTTTGCAGTCAGACATGATATGAAAGCCAACACAGTTCTTAAAACTGATCACGAATTGTATCAGGTAAACTCAGAGACCAGAAACTCCAGTTTTCTTCTTCCTTCAATCTTGCTGGTGATGCCAGGAGTCCATACCCTGCTTCCTTAAGTTTCTCACTGTTATTTACATATCGAACATAGGTCTCACAGTGCATTGTACTCCACACATTTTGATGGATCTGTAGGAAAGTGTTTCTGGCAAATAGTCATTAACCTCTTCAATCCCTAAGAACACAAAGGAAATAAACGTTGGTTATGATATTGTAGAACAAGTCCTAATTGCTGTCCTCTGGACTCACTCTAGTTTGTCAATGTCCCCACTAGAATGCAGCAGTCCCCAGCAACTCCACTTTGAAGTATAACTAATATTTATCTTGTGTACTCAGAGATACATACAAGACCGTTCATCACAGCACATCATCTTGACAAACAAGAAGCAAGCCAAATTTCCTTTCAAATAAGAATATATGAATAAGTTTTAATACACTCACAAATGGAATATTTTACAGCAGTAAAATGAATTAACTCTAGCTACTTGTAACAAGTCAGACTTTCTCAACCAGGTTCCAAAAGAAAATTAAGCTGCAATCAATCATTCAGTCTAAAGCAATCATTGAAGGTAATGAGATAACTTCTCTCCAACACATCTAATATTTAGTGTACTACTTATAGAACATCCTTGGAAAATTAAGAGTGTAGCCACTCAAATAATTTCCTTCTTCTGTGGTCTGAATGAGGACCTCTGGCTGGAAAAGACCAAGGTACGTGAATCTCAGAAAACAACAACAAATACAAAAGCAAGTGGCAGAAGGCTACATACAACATAATACCACTTTAATACAATTCAATTCAAATTTAATACAATTTAATTTAAAACAAGTAAAAAAAAGGTATAGGTAGAAATATACATATAACATGGAAGAATTATCTTGAAAGCAAGAAAATAACAAAAAAATTCAAGACTACTACTTGGGCAGAGGAAGAAAATACAGATTCAATGGTCTTCAGAATATTCTAATTCTTAAACTGGGAATAAAATTTTTAAATTGTCACTTTATTATTTACTTTGTGATTTATACTTTACATGTATTCTTTCTTATACACCAAAATAATACATGATAAAATATTTTCAATATATCAGTAAAGTCTGAACACAATATCTCAAATGTGACCTGACCAATCCCGCAGAATTTAGTAAAAGCAGTCACTGCATGGCCTTTGTTCTGTCCCTTTGGCATCTGTTACCATGGCCTGGAGCTCTTTTTAGACAACTATAATAAACTCAGCTAATATCCATTGATCTCAAAAAATTCAAGTACTTTTCTTCTCTTTCACAGTTTGGTCAGTTCTTCTCCAGTGTGCAACTTTGTAATGATTTTTTTTTTAACTGATACAAGAACAATCACTATTAAATGTCATTCTCAGACACTTGCCTAGCATGCCTAAGGCCTTGTGTTTGGTCCCTAGCACCACAAACAAACAAATAGTTATTCAGTCTCTCTGAACCCATCCTTTAGTCTGATCTTTAAAACCCCTTAGTTGACATTTAATTTTTAAGTGGTTTTATTTTGTTTTGTTTTTACAGCTTTTTTACCCACCACCAAGTAAACAATGTCTTCCAAGTAGTTACTCAAATTCTCAGTATCCTTTACAAACAAGTCAAGGACAAGGGCAAAAATCTGTAACATGCCACTTTAGATCTCTCTATAGAACACCCTTGATTGAGAAGAATTTGCAATCAGCAAGGAATCTATCTGTTACAGTCTGGATCTGAGATGACCTCCAAAGGTTCATGTGTTGAAGGATCGGTCCCCAGCTGGTGGTGTTATAGGGAAGTGGTAGAAACTTTTCAAGGTAGGGCCTTAGCTAAGATGTCACTAAGGGTGTGCCTTTGAAGGGTATTAACCTTGTCCCCAGTGCATGCACGCATTGCAATGCGCTCTCCCCACTCACTCCCTTCAAGGCAGCCATGAGGTGAGCAGCCTCTGCCACATGCTCTCACTGCCTTACCTCACATCCAAAGCAATGGAGACAACCAATCTTGGTCTAAAACCTCTAAAGCCATGATCCAAAATAAATCTTTCCTCCTCTAAGTTGATTTTCTTAGGTACCCTGTCAGCGATGAAAGCCGATTAAACTATAATTTTACCTGTTTATAAGGAGAAACTCTCAAATGTCTTATTGAAATCTATTTATCTATAGTAATATTAGTTTTTGAAAAACAACAACAGGCCAGGCATGGTGGTGTACACACCTATAATCCTAGTGGCTTGGGAGGCTGAAGCAGGATTGTGAGTTCAAAGCCAGACTCAGAAAAGTGAGGTGCTAATAAGCAATTCAGTGAAACCCTGTCTCTAAATAAAATACAAAATCAGGCTGGGGATGTGGCTCAGTGGCTGAGTGCCCCGAGTTCAATCCCTGGTATCCTCCCTACCATCAAAAATTAAAAAAAGAGAGAGAGAGAGAACAGCACACCTTAATTTTAATGACACCTCCCCCAAGTAATTTTTTAGCACAAATTATTTTAATGTTTCTAGCCTTTTATTCACAAAAATTAATAATCATCCAGTTCCCATTACAGTAAGAAAAACAATGAAGTCCTGCCCTGAGGCCAAATGCTCTGCTTAGGCCTAAAATAATATTAAATATTGAATATGAAAATATATGTGGCCCATTGCCTGATACTTAACTAGCAATTTCCCCAAATTCATTTTCTTCCCTCAAAATGTCCATTGAGGTTTTATCTGCTTTTTAAACAAAAACTAATAACAGGCCAGTCCCAGTGGTGCACACCTGTAATCCCAGCGGCTCAGGAGGCTGAGGCAGGAGGATAGCGAGTTCAAAGCCAGCCTCAAAAAAGCGAGGAGCTAAGCAATTCAGTGAGACCCTGTCTCTAAATAAAATACAAAATAGGGCTGGGGATGTGGCTCAGTGGTGGAGTGCCCCTGAGTTCAATCCCTAGTACCAAAACAAACAAAAACTCTGTGACCCAGTGGGAGGAACAGAATGCATGGCTATAGTTATACAATGGAATAATAAAACACCTGAAATCTGGGAGAATGCCATAAAAATGACCTCAAAATCTATACTGATGTAATAGATGCCTAAAACACCATCAAGTATTTAGGACTTTCTCTGTAATTAAGTATTCAAGAAACTCTCAAACTCAGTGAATCACCAAAAATAAACAAACAAAAAACCCTTGAAAAATCTGATCAGTCTCTGAGTAAACAGAAAAGACAAATATAAATTACTTCTATGAACTGAGCTATAATCTAACGGATTCAACATCAGTGAAACATGATTTTAAAATAATTTACTTCAGAGTCCTTTGTGGATTCAAATAACATCCACATGATGCTATTAAAGAATTAAGGGTATAGAAAAAGGTTATCTTTTAGGTGATTTCAAAGAAGGACTTTTGCAGACAGTGCAAAGAAAAGACATGTAATTTACTTTGCTCCTCATTTTTTGTGCCCTGTGTTAATCAGGTATTTGCTTTAGGATAAAGACTCTTCCCTCTCATAGTCCAGCTCCTCCTATTGTGAATTCTACTCATGTGTACACAGAATTGTGATATATATCCATGGAAATATATGTAATATCACTAATTTGGCACCTTTAATTTTTCTGAAGCAGTAAGTGAAAGAGAGGTAAAGCTAGGAAAGGGAACACCCTGATGAAATACAAAGAGCTTTCATCAGCAGCAAAACACAGCGAAGCGTAAACCATTACGATGAACAAGCAGAAGGCACAGTGATGGGCAGACTGCTGGAGGTAATTTTCCATGATGAGAACTGGAATCTTAAGTGCCTCCTCCTTATAAAAAACACTTGTGCTTATCTGCACTACATGGAATTTTAGTTGACAAAAGGCAGCAAAACTCAACAGTCATAGCCATAAATAGTTACCCAGAACACCATAATAAATTCTTGCAAACATACTAATGGTACGTAGCACCAATTTTTAAAGGTGTAAAATCTCAGACAAACATATGGTTATTTTCCAAATGGAAACAAATCTTTTCAATTAGATCTCTCAGGATTTCTGTTTTAAGCTGCTTGTGGATGCTTAAGCAAGTTAAACTGTTTGGCTTACTTCAAAGAGCTTAAAAACTGGTGGTATTTTAATTGACTGTTTACTTTTATAAAAGCAATACATTTAATTAACAAATCTTTATCCAGTGCCTACTATGTGCCAGGCACTGTTCTAGGCTCTGGAAATACAGCAAGAAATAAACCAGGAAAAATCTCTACCCTCATTAATAAGAGAAGACAAACAAGAACCAAAATAAGATTTATAAAAAACAAAAAAAAAATGTTCAATGATGATAAATTTTCTAAGGAGAAAATAAAGGATTGGAGGAATGTATGGGTGACTGAAAGAACTTTGGTTTTGACTCTGTGAATGAGAGAACTGCTGTCAGACTCTGAATAAGACAGCTACATAATCTGACCATCTTAACTGAATCAATCTGGGCACTGTGCTGATGAGAGACTGAAGACAGGCAATGATAGAAGCTCAGGAACTAGAGAGGAGGCACTGCAAGATTCCAGCCACTGGTAGGCTGGACCTGGATTGGCAGCAATGGAAACAGTAAGAAGGGATTAGGTTACAGATCTACTCTGAATATCTAACAATCAAGATTTAAGGAAAGATAGGTAGTGGGCATTGACAGAGAAAAACCAAGGATAATTCCAGGGTATGTGTGTATGTTGCTTTAAAAACAACAACAAAAAAAACCCTTCAGTTTTAATATCAAATAATAGTAGTCAATTGTCTTTCTCCTTCCAGTCCCTAATTCCAGCTCCTCAGAGGCAGTCACTTCCATATCTTTTAACACTCTCTCCTGGTGTTTACTGCCATTTTCTAATTCTATACTGATAGCACTGAACTTTTCCAGTTCAAATATTACCCACTGTCTTTTGAATATGAAGTGGGAGGATTTAGTTGGCTCACACAATGCCCATTAGCTTTATATACATATGCACACAACTAAAGGCATGGTCTCTTCTCCCCAAACCACAATTCTGAAGAAAATCAACATTCAGAACTGACTCATAAAGACTACACAAATATCCTTCAAATAGTGCATTATGAGGACCTCTCCTTGCATAGGTTTTACTTACACACACACACACACACACACACACAATTTTTTTGGCCTTTCAAATCAGTTATCTAACAGGCTACTTTCAATATCAGCCAACATCACAAGTAATATA